TTTGTGTAGCTGGAAGTGGTGCCAATGGAGCCAACYGAAAAAAAAAACTAACCATGTCATATATGGCGTCATTCCTCGAAGATCAAGATGGAACAACAATGTGGGGCATCCAAACCCTAGCATTTGGGAGTGCAATAGGTATAAACGAGCRTTTGACTGTAATTGAAAAGAAGTACGATGAAATTGTAAAGACCCAGAAGGAATTYGCAGGGAAGCTTGATGGCATTATTACAAGCTTAAATATGATTCTTGAACAATTGAACACAAGTGATGGACTGGAGGATGACAGACTCGATAGGTTTATGATGATAGGGGATGTGAATGTGGGAGCTGCATTCGAAACTGTCTACAAGGTAAATGTACTTAGCTACTCCGTATGTTTATTACAGTCTCATCCTGATATATTTAGGTTGTAATGTTGCAGGGGACATCATCATTTACAAATGAGCTTGAGACTCTAGAAGCTCAAATAGATAAGAAAAAGAATGACCATCCAATTGATGATCACCACCAAGAAAAAGCCCTAGCTGTGTAGAGGAAAGATGATGAGGAGAACCCTACAGGTGGACAAAGACAACCACACCTTGCAGTTGTGCAAGGTATTCGAGCGAGTACCACCCCGACAACTAATGCAGGAAAGGTTTCTGAAAAACAACCCACTCAAGACAAAACTCAGGTAGCGAAAAAGAACTTAATATGTGATGCACTTATGATATTTKGAATGTGAACTCAGGATGTTTAATATATGATGCAGGCATGCGATGGACTTGGTAATATTGATGAACAAATCAATGAGGTCATAAGATGTATTGACGAGGACAAAATTATTGAGAAGATGAAGAGGACTCAAGCAATTGGGGCAGCGGTGAGAAAGGTGACCTTTTGTTTTATTTAGATGTATAAACTATATAAAATGAAACATGTACTCATGTAATCCTACCGTATGCAGGAGACATCCAAACTTAGACACCCTAAGCTTCTAAAGACACCAGTTAGTAGAGGAGTGAATAATTTGCAACGGGTGAGTAATCATATAACTATATATATCTATTATTTCAAGTTGGTTTGACATTTTAGATATCATATGCTATGGGAATAAAAATACAGGATCAAGTACTTCCCCATGAGGTTCGACTTTCAGAAGGGAGGTCAGCACTTCAATAGATACTRTATACATAATTGTCCTAACTATAAATGTAGTTAGATACATGCACTGTCATGGTAACATGGTCTATTTTAATTTTTAGGWGAACACCAATATAAAAATGCAAAAAAATGATTTATTGTCCCGTGATGCAACAATGAAGAAGGTAGAGGATACTATCGAAAATATTGCTATGKGGATCTATATAGACGCACTGAGGGGACAAAGTATTGCGCAAGAGAAGACACYAAGGGGATACCATCAATCGTCGTTTGAACTCTTAAGCCAATCCCAAAAACCGCGAGGGTGACACACTTATACTTGAAACTTCATAGAACATTCACTTCTGCTAGACTTTTATATGTTTTATTTAAACTACATATGGACAAATTTTATTTKTGGTTTTTTGGGCTACTATATTAAACTATGTATGAACAAACAAGTTACTTTCTTTATGTTTTCTTCTGAAAATATGGTAATTAGTTATACTATGTATGGCCAGATTAATCCTATATGTGGTTGCATTTGATAACCATAGGCAGGATCTCTCTTATGATAATTTTTTATGCTTTCTTCTGAACTTTTGTTTGTTATTTGCTTTTTATCTTGGCGCCTATTTTTGACTTGTAGGATCATTAAGTTACCACTTGTTGTAACTTGTTTATGATTTCTTTTAAAAATGAGGTAACTACGTACTTATACGATGTATGGACAGTTTAATTCTATATTTGATTGCATTTCATGACCAGATGTTGGATTCTATTGTGCTTATTTTATATTCTTCCTTTTGACCATGGAGTAATTACATATATATATAATGTGTAATACTACGTTATCAAAATGGGTCATATATAAGGTGATTGATTGTAAATGTTGACTGGAATTGGTGATGGTATAAATGTTGACTGGAAAATAAATAATAAAATAACTATCACTGATTATTATCAAAAAGACATTGAAGGTTACAATTAAAAAAAAAAACAGAACAAAATAAATGACTGAGTGTGTTTTTACACCTCTCTGATTGTGTCATGACTGACCACATTTACCACATTTTACTGTCGATCTCGTTTCAACAAGAACAACAAGTCTCTTTTTCCGTGGCCTACCAGCAAAGTGTTTTACATTTGGAGGGAGGATGTCTCCCTCATCTTGACCAACTGTTGACGCAATGTTGTAAGTCTGACCAATTGGATGTACGTCACCCTCGTATAATAATTGCAATGTTGACACTTGATAGAAATCATGAACAAACTTATTTAAATCCAACCCTCTCCGACCAATAGTAAGACATGCATGTGGGCATGGGATCAAGTCTAAGTCCCACTGTCTACATGTGCATCTACGGTTAAGAATATCAACTTCAAAGTGGTTACTCTGTACTTGGACTTCGAATTGATGGTCATTGACCGGGTATATCTATAAAATGACATAAGCAATATATCAACAAAAAACACGAAAAACAAATTAATTCATGGATAAAATGCTGGCAAATAAATCTTACATCCATTGTGCGACTCTGCTTCAAGGATGAACGTAGTACCTTCGCAGTCCATAGGGTGATATCTACTAATTGAAAATTAGAAAACAACCTTCGCTGATAAAACCACTTYTGCAAAGGATCTCTTATACTTTCTAAAAGAGATATAACTAGCAACTCATGAGTATTTTTACGGGTGTAATTCAAACTCTCGAAAATATTTGTTGTCATCAAGGCATACCGGTTCTTCATTGAGAATGCACGAGCCCACTTATGATAGCCTATTTCTGGAAGCTCCCGTCTAATAGACGGTACTATCTGTTCCAACTATCTCATATAAAATTCAAAAACATCAGATGTATATGAGTTCGCACACTTATGAAATAATCCGTCAATATGTTTACATTTATGTCGTTGTTTAAGGTTTTTTAACAAATGAAATACACAAATACCATAGTGTGCAGAACCATATACATCTATGTTGTTGTGACGATCAGACACTATAACTAAATCTTCCAGTACTTCAAATGCTGCTTTCATATTCTGAAAAAACCATTCCCAGGATGCATCATTCTCCGAGTCAAGAACAGCGAAACTCAATAGGTAGATTTGRGAGTTTCTATCAAAAGTTACAGGCCGTCATTGGAGTGCCCTAGAATTTATTTTTTAGGGATGTGTCATCGACCGAAAATACTGGAAGACAGTGTTTCCATCCATTTATTATGCTGCCAAGCTCATAAAAAAAAAATTTAAAACCTTCTATCACCATCAACCTCGTGAGCTGTGTATGTCCCTGCAGAAATACATGGAATAAATATGCATATAGAATGACTAAAGACAGAGTAAGTACAGGCGGATATTGTATCTGGATTTTTATCGATCAGCCTGCCTGCAAAGGACGGGATGAGAGCGTACAACTGTTCCGATGACCCCCTTAATGAGTTAACGACCTTCTCTCTTCCTCTCCGGGCCTTATCATAACTAATATTGACTTCGTGCTTCTTCCGAACATAATCGATTATGTCACGTGGACTATAGTGCCTCCCATTGTTCATACTTAACATTGTCTTGACACATTCGCTTATCATTGTTGCTGTTGCTTGCTTACGGTGACTACGAACAGCGTCATTCGAACACGTATGATCCAGTACGAGTTTTCTAATCATCCATAATTTATCGTCGTCATATCAAAAGGAGCAGCAATACCACTTGCACGTTTCTTCGATGAACCTCACAACCAGCTGTTTTTGGTTGGATTTAACGGTTTTAAACTGCAAACTCCCTTTTAATGCAATAACATAAAGCGCCTTCTTTAACTCTTCTTTATTTTGAAAGATAGAGAATTCTTCCAACGTGAAATCAGAGGGAGTACAATCAAGAACAATAGGGTCCATGAAAATAAATTTATTCCCCCTAAGGTAAACTGTATTCTAGGCGGCGTCTAAACTTTCACTAACCCTGTATATGATATTATGTACAGGATCAATATCTACGACTATGCAGTAGTCGCTGAACATGACATCCAACAATAGGATATGGCCCACGACACATCCCTATCTACTAACAGCCTCATAATTATCGACTTACCAGCAYCATTTCCGAACAGWGAAAGTCGTGTAATCTTTTTTCCTTCTAGAAAATGAAGATCTCTAGAGATACATTCACTGAGTTGTTGTAGGGTGGAATCAAATGGAATTGAAATGTACCCGGTACTGAACCCTTGATAATTGTCGTGCTCCTCCCAACTTCCATCATGTAAAACTGTGGCTAAGAATGATTGCATAGTGTTCCCGCATTGATTCGTTTAATTTTTGAAAAAAATGTAACAAGAAAATGGRTGGGGATTAMTGGCACCTTGTGTAATAATATTAAA